CTTACAGGAAGCAATAATGACGTAAAACTTGTCGAACCTCGAACTGTACATTTTGCTAGACTAAAAATGCCCTCTTGTTTTGAGAGAATAAACAAACTTGATCGCGATATTTATTTGCCCCTGCCACCATCCAAATCAATCTTAAAGCGCGTGCAAAGATAGTGAGTTTTGTGAATAGGGTCTATTCTATCATCGTAAAGCTGCAGTAGTTTGAGACGTGTTCTTTGTACCTCAGCTGCTTCCTAGGTAACCTCCTTAGAATTTCTAATCATCTCTTTGCTTATGTAGCTCACGCGGTTGATTCAAAAGACGTGTCGAAACAATTGCAGCTCGTTTAGGACGTTGTTCTTTGGGCAACAAATTTGAGCTCTTCTCAGTGTACATATGCAGGTAAGAAGAGGTAATAGACTATGTTCATGGAGGGCCAGCAGCCAAGCCCTTCCCCCCCGCCCCCCAAGTTGCCTGATAATCTACAGTTGTTGTCTAATTATTTTTCTTCGACACAAAATGTACAATTATGAAGTCGCATCGAATGATGTTACCAAAATGGGTTTAACTGAATTTGTAATTTGAAAGTCAAAACTTACCTTCAGAAGGGGAATAAAACGCCGAAAACCGTTTTTATGATTGACGTCAGTAAATGTGACGTCACAACTTAGTGATAGCCACAATGGTAAGGATATTATCGCTGGATTTTTTCAGTCCACGATCATCCCCGGGGCGCACTCCTCGTAAATGGCCCATACGGGGTTCAGGCTTTAGGTATATGAAAGGGTAGGGGGTTTCACTTGTTGAAGTATATGAAAGGCTAGCGGGGAAATCTGTCATTTTGGCCTGTAAAAAGGCCCAAAAGGACTAACAGATGCATTTTATGGCTGTAAATTAGATCAATAAAACGTTCTGGTTTTAGGATTACAGCCTTGTCTCCAGGGCTTTTCCTTCAGGAAAAGCCCTGGCTGGCCCCTCTCATAATTAAGGGAAACGCCCTAGCTGGGGACGAGGTTGTGAGGATTATTCATATCTTAAAGACAGTGCGTTCACGGCAGTTAAAAGGATAAGGTAAAGTTCTAAGCTAGGTATGTGAAAGGGGTACTATTTGTAAACAAAAGGTGTAAGAAAGGATACTTTTTCTGCCAAATATCGTATGTAGAAGGGTAAGGAGTGGACCTTGGAGCGGAGCCCCCCATAATAAAATTTTGGGAAGATCATTCTTTAGTCGAACCGTGCGCGCGGGGTATTTCAAACTTAATTGTTATTTGGTCGACTGTAGCACGGCAGGAAAACAACTTTGATTCAGACGTCGTGCCAGAGAGAAAGCTTGCTCGCAGGTTAGCGCTTGTCGAACTTAATTGCTTGCCGAACTTAATTCAAAAGTTTGATTCAGTCGCCGTGCTTCTGCCGTGCTTTTGTCGAACTTAATTCCTGAATTTAGTTCGGCACGGCAGAAGCACGACGTCTGAACTGGGCCTTAGAGTGTATGGAACAATCTCGTTCCCTGGGTGCTGTTCTACTCGTCCTCTGAGGCGACGCGACATATATAGAGAGGGAGGAGGCATAGACTCCTTATAAGCGTTGTTTTCAGTTTCTCTTTCTTTCCATCTTGAGCTTAGAGCTCGACGATGTCTCTTCTACAAGCTGAGAGTACGGCACATGTTTTGCGGGCTACTGTAAACTGAGGATAATGTCAGCGATGGTTAATAGCTCCGTACCGTAATTCCTCCCCAGGCGGATCAATAAAGAGTTGTTCCATTTCGGTGAAATCTTTTTAGCAATTCTTGCAATGGGATAGTGTTGATGTGGAACATAGGCGTACGGGCAATTTTCGGCCAGGGGGGGCGGTAAACCATTTGCCCAAAAAATTCTTGCAAGTTGCCCAAATTTTTACAAAACAGTCGAGAAGAAACAAGCGCCATACGATGCAACAACATAGGCCGTACTGGCATACGAAAGTGTCGCAATACAGTTTTTCAGGGTCAATATATACTTGCCAAGTTTGAGCATAAACTATACGTTGCCATAAACAAACATTTGGAAAAATTGCCACCACAGTTGTATTAGATAAAGATGAAAATTTGTCATGATCAGGGTTGCAATGACATCGGAGTTGTCATAGCAACGAAATGACGCCATTACCTATTATACTTGCAGCATTATTTCTCACTGTGAAATCGTTCTTGGGAACTTTTTCCTCCAATAGTCGCCTCAGTGTTCGTGACGTTAAAACGGAATCTGTAAGAGCGTTATCGGAATAGTCTGGGATAAAGTTTTTATCGTTAGAAACACAGTAAAACAAGGAAAATCTTGATGTTTAGCCGCTATCTGTAGAAAACGGAGCGCTTTTGACATGCAATTTCACCTCATAGTAGGTTCAATCTTTTTAAAAATGTGTGTGAGTTATTTGTATAGGTAATAACATGATTTGTAGTGATATTTGGCTAAATATCACGAGTGATATTTCAAAATTGCTACGAAGAAGGATTTCAATAGTATGTATCATGGCTCTCTTGTTAGCGGTTTTGTAAACATTTCAGTCTACTTTAACAAATTAGTGAATAATTTGAACCACTTGATAGATTTTTTTAAAAACCTTAAGATTCTTCTCGTAATTAAAAGTGAGAATTAGTCAGCCACTTCTTCACTTTCAAATCAATCGCTGATGCTATCTGCCATACACTGTTCTTCGAGCAAAGATGATCCTAGAAAGTTAGGCGGAAGTTTATTCTAATCAATTCCCGATTGGAATAGCCCATTGCAGCATAGTGCCCAACGATAAAAGACTGAACCCTTCCCTTATAAACAGAAACTCATCACGTGCTTGGCAACCACTGTCTCGTGTGAATGTAACTTGATTATTACGCCGACTTCAGGTTAAAATAAAAAATATTTATCTCTTCAAAATACTAATAAAAAAAACATGAAACGTCTTTAAAAGCTGGCTTTGCCCAAATTTTCTCTTGCTGCCCAAAAAATCTGAGTTGCCCAAAATTTGGGGGGGCTGCAGCCCCCATCGCTCCCCCGGCCTGTACGCCTATGATCTGGAAACTAGTCTTGACTGGACAAGGAATGCACCAAAGTAACATATGAAAGCAAAACGCCTTTTTCGGCTCTTGTTTCACCCCAAGAGCCGAAACTGAAAAGCATCTGGTCGAGCAGGCTAGCCCCAAAGTGGCCAACACATATTGACAATAGGTTTCCTTTTTGTAAAGAAGATAAAGAACCGAAACAAATATTACCATTCAAAGAGGTTCCACTTGAATGGTCACACCGTACTGAATTTTGTCCCGAGACGCAAAATTTACAGCACATTCAATTCTTTCCCGCTGCTAACAGAGGACATTTTTCAGAGGGCTCTGGGCTCTGCTAGCAGGTAATTCAATTCTCTTTTGCTGGGGAAGCTGTAAGAAGTGGGGGATCCGGGGGGGGGGGGGCGGTCCCCCCTTATTTTTAGACCAAACTGAGGCCACTCCTGGCCATGTAGATTTTCAGCTATTTATTAATATTATTTATTTATTTATTTATTTATCTTTGCAAACTGATCTTTTCTTTGTTGAAATACTGTATATGGATAATTTAATATTTTAATAGTATGTGGCGTGTGAATGTCGCTTTAATATTTCGTTTCCATGTAGTGATACTGAAAGTATTCAATTGAGATCCCCTTTAGGATTTTAATGCTGACTGAGATAACATTTGTCTCGACACTCATCTGAAGAAAATCACTATGACAACATCGATTATAGTTGCAGTGTTACAGCTGCAGAGAACTTGGGCCAGACATAATATTCCAGTGGATTTAACAACAACGACAACAACAATATCTTTTATTTAAACACGGTGGGTTTTAAAGCTAATATAGCTCATGGGGCCGTGTAAAAAATGTTAATAAAATAAAATAATAGAAATTATTAAAATTGAATGTAGTCAATAAAAGGTGAAATATGTACAATAAAAGATATGAACAGAATTAATAAAAGACGAAATCACTGTCAATTTGGGGACGACCCATTTGCGTTGACTCTTGAGATAACAAGTTAGTCTTTCAATAAGTTAAGTAAACTTTTCATTTTTCCCTCGGTTTCACGGCGCGCTTCAGTCTAAAAGGTCTAAAAAGCATTGGTGCCATCTTTGTGCCTTTGTGTCTCGTTGAAAGCTCTCGGAAAGCTCTCGGAGACATGATTAACCAAGTACAGTATATACAATAATCAGCTTCCAATCTTATCAGCTTTTAATTTTAGATTTAAAAAACAGCATTACAAGATATGAAGTCACACAATCAAAGGTATATGCTGCTTGTGACAATTTACCTCCGACAGGTTTTTGAAAACTTGTGATCAAGATATGGGGCGAATAAAAGTGGATCCCGAAAGGTTCATGGACTGATGCTGACAATGAGTGAAGTACTGGGGCTTTTCATTCTAAAACTTGACCATTTTTCGGGATCTCTCGGAAACTAAGGAGATGAGAGCCTTAGCTCTCTCCTTTAAAGTTTTTGGTCACTACGAGTCTTCTGTAGTTAAAACTCGTAAAAATCGTAAAAAAGGGCACCTCCTTGACTTTCTAAACCCTGTCTTAAGAAAAGGACATGCTTTTCAGCATATGAGTTTTAAAAACAAGAAACGGACACATTACAATGCACTCGTCGACCGGAAAGGATTTTTTCTGTTCCTGTCAGTTTGCATTCCAAAGTTGTAGAAGATAACATCAGGACAATCCAATCTCGGCAGCAAAATAGAAGCGTCTCTGATCGTTTATTTGATTTTGAGTTAAGCGTTTAACATCATAATCCTCCAAGCATATCCAAGCTTCAGGTTTCTTTACTTGTGTGTTTGGACAATGCAGATTAACTAAGCTTGCGCGGCAGTTTGTTGTTTAGCAGGCGGTTGACATATATACTTTTGCGCCATCGTGCTACGTCCTGTGAAAAGAACCTTTTCAAGCTCTTGTGATATTTGATGCGTGCCAATTGTGGTTATTTGACAGGCCATCTATTCACCATTTCCGGTATCTATGAGCATTCTCTTGTACCTCATAAAAACACTCCAGTCGAACGACAAATCGGAAGGTATACGCTACTGGGTGTGATTGTCTTCAAGAATAGGTCTTCAACTAAGTTCAAGCGTCGCTCTGCGAGATCCCTACGCGTCATTCACTTTCGGTATATACTTAAGATATTATCATTGTTTGCCTTTCATTCAAAAGTGGTTCATTATTGAGAGGCCGCGGATTCTTGCTTGAGAGATAAGAGACCACAAGCTTCTCGCGGCTTCCCCCGATCTCTTTACACAACAACGACAACTGATTCCTAACGGAAGAAGCGAGGAAATTACTGATCGTGTGTTTTTTTGTGTCGCCGGGTTTACATCACAAGAGCTTAGCATGACAAGCGCGCGCCCCCGAAGGACATGAACGTGAAAAGTTCCTTTTAACTCGTCGCTAGCTTTTCAAGAGATCAGCGTGAAGAGAAGGTCCCAAGAGAATTGCCTGCTCTCTTTGTTCGGGAATATTGTTGATGATCGGATAATTTTTATGTTGACCGCCCACAGCTCACAACAACTCTGCCCTCGGGCTGCTTCTTGTGTTAGTACGTGTGGTCTGATCGAGCGTAGTGAAACCCTTGCATCGGAGGACGACGCACGTAGATCGATTTTCCGCTCCACTTTAAAGATTTCAGCCAAAGGTTTTGCGGAAATCTTGACTGCAAGCGACGTGCTGACAGAAATATACCACGTCACTCTTCATTAACACCATTATCTAGCCGATTTTGAGCATCATACAGCGTTCTTTCTCTCGGCTTCACATAACCGAGTCTATTCCTGTCCGTGGACTGATTAAACGAAGGAGTAACCTTTGTATAGATCTATCTCAAGATGTATCGAACAGTACAGTTAAGGGAGCTGAATACCTTCATCACTTGTGGCATATGTGATGGCTACCTGATTGATGCTACGACCATTACGGAGTGTCTACACACGTGTGAGTATGCGACCTTCAGTGGTGTTTCTCTGTTTAGATTACCACATAAATCAGCCTTTTTCCTTTGATAAGTGTTTATGCCATCTTCCGCTGTTTCAGCGCCAACAGTTTACCACTGGGCGATGCGTTTAGGTAGAAGAACCAGTGAGATCGGTCCGCAAGAGTTTTAGAGAGCTCTCCATGCTATATTCATGCTTACAGTGTTGATAATGCTTTTGAATTTTACACAAAGGCCTTTAAAGATTTAAAATTTTCCCCGTCAACAGTCTCCTTGAATGTGTGTCATAACTTTCCTGTAAATGCCGGTTATGCTTTATTTATTAAACCGGCAGAAAGAAAACCTCACATATTGTATCTCTCATTCTGTTCGCCGGTCTTGGTACGGAGTCCTCAAGATCTCTACAAACACTATTGTTTGATTTTTCGTTTGCCCAGTGAATTTGGCATTTTACTGTTTGGTTTATTTCATTGTCTACTGGGGTTGATCGCCAAGAAATTGTCGGGTACACTACGTGCGGTAACCAGAGGCTTCTAAGCGTTCCGCGGTTTAACCCGAGGTTTTAAACACAGACGGTGTGTGTACTGATCTTTTAGCGCAAACGACGTGAGTCAAAATCCAGCAGGCAATGAGCTTGACAACAGATGCATTATAACTAGACAGTTGCAGTTGTTTGATCGGGGATACTATAAATTTACTCTCTCGTACAAGTTTGATGCTAAAAATATACCCCTGTGAGTGAGGCGTAGTCCGTTCCATAGATCGCTCTCATCTTCATCTCCCAAAGCCGTCTAAAATCGCCTTGTTAAAATTGTCTTAGAGGAGCGGCTTCGTGCTTGAGTTAATTTGTATTTAAAACCAGCACTTACTCAAAGAACGACACAACCCGCGATCAAGGAAGCGAGGAAAGCTTACGGAATCACTCTTGCCCTTTGCGACTTACCGTCATATGAACTGTTGAACTTATTCATTTCATGATTCATGATACATGTATAACAGTGTATATGCTTTGGCAAAGTGATGTTTATTGGGCTTGTTTGTGCTTTGGTTTGTTCATAGTTTGTAGAAGCTGCATTGTCAAGCGCTTGCAAGAAGACAATGTCTGCCCAACCTGTAAAATAGTCATTCATCACAGCTACCCCATGAACTATATCAGGTGAGATGTTTATGAAGTAGTAGACACTTATCGTGCTTCAAACTAGTGTAACAACATGCAACATTTTATGTGGGCGAAATACAGCTAATGTAAGAAAAATGCTCGATGTGCGTGGGATAGACTTTCACTGCCCTAGACAGTCGCCTTAAATAGACACTAATAGCTTAGAACTCAGCGATTTCAAAATCAATACATTTTCGTGATTTTGTGACCGTTTCTTTACTTGATAATTATTTTAAATGAATTTAAAATTGATTGGTTTTTTTATGGAGATTAACTCTCGGCGTAAACGAATAGGAATGATTACATAGGTTCCAAGTTTGCTGTGGGATAATTCTACCCCAAATCCCCCGAATAAAGTTCTTTCCAAATCTTTAGTAGATTACTAAACTTCCTCCTGCCCAAGGGTGCTCTTATGTTTAAAATAATTCTAGACAACCTTTATACAAATGTCACGGCTCCAACTATAAACAATCTGCGTTGTATTGCTGTAAAATTTACCTTTTGTAAGCAAATCATGAAAACACATTTCTGCCATTAAGAGGTTAAGCCCACAATTGCCGTTATCATAGACTAGAGGTATAGCCCAAAGTTAACTACGAGTTTTAGATACAAACAATGGTATTTTTTCTTATTAACGTTTGAGAGAAAATCGTGTGATATTATTCTGGTCAAGACAAGGATATTCCAGTCCACTAAACGAATTTAAGTGAAATTTAAGCGTTTCATAAACAACTGATTCTACGTGATTATTTGTGTTGTTTCACCTCTCATTATTAGCTATTAGTGCCATCTTAATTATTGATCTATTTATTTATTTTCATGCTAAATTAGACTGGCTTTTGAAATTTAAACTGCGTGGGATTTTTTCTTGAAAAACGTGATGGGTTCCCTTCGTTCTGAAGTCATAGAAATATTGTTTAATATCTTGCAGTTCCGATCGTACAATGCAGGAAATTGTATACAAACTGGTACCAGGGTTACAAGAGCGTAAGTGTACTCATTAATGTATGGCCGATAAAAGAAGGTAGTAAAAATTACTTGAGGAATATACTGAGACCAAAAAGGTGTCGGGTCTACTTCAAAGGGTTCCGCTGGCTTGATATTTTGAAGCAAATCTTTCGTCATCCTTTATATATTTTATTTTTCTGAATGCAACATAAGCTCTAGAGTCTCATTTGCAGTAATTTCGTCTTTGTTGCGTCGAAGAATAATGCTTAACCATGCGGTACCACTGGACACGCTATTTAGCTTAACAAAAACAGCTCTCAACAATTCACTTGACGTTAATGTTTTACCAGCGCTGCAGAGGCGAAATGATCATAGGGCCCTTGCTGTATCAAAACGTAAACATAGAAAATTCGTCTTCGAGGCGCGTGTTCAGCGTTGTAACAACAAAGTTCCTCCAGGTATCACCTTCTTGAAAGCTTAATGATATTTATAGATTTTTGCCCCTGGCTATTAAACTCGTTATCTCAGTATAGGCTAATACTGATAACAATACTTCAATAGGTGTAGCTGCAATAACGCATAAAGGAATCAAAAGAATATGTGTTGCAGCAAGGTTGTTATGTTGCTCGTTCATGCGTTTCAAAGGCGATAATCGCAACATCAGTGGTCAAAGGCATATAAACAGTTTTCCTGCGGTTTGGGTTTACCGCGGGGGTTTTCCGTTTTGTTCCAGACGTTCCTAATTTCATTTACACGTGTACTTGAAGTGATGATTTAATATCTCTGATACAAAACATATCCGAGGAGTATTTGGTGCCATAGTGGCCTAGAATCTCGCTAGTCCTTTAGGACCTTAACCAAAACGAAACTCGGATGAGTACCAAAACGCGAACATGAACTATTTTCGACTTAAAACCCATATGTTTTAAGTGTTGTTCTCTGTTAGAACTTTCTCGGAATCAACTTGATGTAGATAATTGCTGTGAATCCATTTTTTTCGCGGGGAGACATCCGTCTTTCTCGAGTGGAAGACTTGAATTTTTCTTAGGGATTATCCTGGGGGCTGTTGAGATTTTAATCTGTAAGCGCCGCAAAATTCCTGCTCAGTTTTCGGAATGGCATAAGACCCTGGAAGTTTCGCAAAGACTCTTAGGCTTTCCTTGGTTTGGGGGATGTGCAAGTTTAGCAGTGTATGATCACTTTCCCTATTGATCTGCTCGCCATTTTAAGGAGAAAGTTAAGTAATCTGATCGAATAATACTGATAACAATGTTCATGCCTTCTAATTTCGTCTGCAGACTTTAAGTAAAGTTTGGTGTCTTTCATTTCATTTCATTTCATTTCATAGCTCCGTTTTAGAATTTTAGAATTTTACTGTAGATTCAGTAGTTGAAAACAACCTTCGTACTGTTCGTAAAACTGTCTATTGCACAGCAGTGCAGGTAGGAGTCTAAAATCATTTCTTTTAATATTGCCTTGAGGGGTCATTTGAACCGTTCGCCGTAAAAGCAATTGCCAACAGACAAATTTGCACGCCTTGAAAGGAAAACAAACTCCCAATTTTGCAGTCATTTTTGAAAGCCATATCTTCTTATATGTTCTCAGCGCACTGCGAATGAACCCAGTATAAATGTTTCCTTTACGAGCTGTCATTGTGGATCGAAAAGGATTTTTATAACATTGTACATTGTACATGTAAATTTGTCCCCGGGGGCACTACCATATTTAGCCAACTATAATATGTAGTGTGCTTTATGAGGAGCTTAGTATTTATAAAATTATATCATCTCCTTTGTGCTCTTTTTATAGGGTCACTTAAAACTCGCTGTGAAGAATCTATACTACTTTTTGACAATCTACCAACAATTAACTTTCACGTCATCCACCTATCTTAAACCAAACATTAGTTGTAGTACCTCAGGAAAGTTTTTGCTCAATTCCTTTATTTTAATTTTCTTCCCCGTTGCCTTAAAAGAAATGATTTCCAAAACAGGTTCTGGGCGGATTTTTTAAGAGTCATTGTGCCGCCATGATTTAAGACCGTAATCCTTTGACTTCTAATAGGAATTTGCATCTTATTTCTCCCCATAATAGCCTTAAATTTAACATTAAGATCGTTAGAGTAGAGGAATTGACCTCTAAAGGTAAACTTTGATGTCTGGGCTGAAGACAAAAGCTTCCTATAGGTTTTTTTGGCAGAGTTATATTAGCCTTCGTGGCAGGCGTCCACAGGGATGTCATGGGTGGGGAGAGGGGGGAAAGATGTCAACTGTAGGAGAAGACCCTAGGAAAGAGGTTGGAAAGAAGTCTGAGAGGAAGCGGGAGAAAATGTCCCTCTTCTCCCCTCCTGGGGAAAAAAAAGTTTTCTATGGGGTTTTTTGGGAGAGTTATATTTGGCCTTGTGGGCGGGGTGCACAGGGGGGTCATGGGGGGGGAGGGGGGGGAAAAAAGTCAACATGAGGGAAAAGCCCCAGGAAAAAGGTTGGGAAGAAATTTGGGAGGAAGCGGGGGAAAATGTCCCCCTTTCCCCCCCCAAGCCCCCCCCCCCCCCACCCCTTTCGACGCCTGCAAGGTAGACTGGACAAAAGGAAGTACGTTTGGAAGGGAAGAGAAGGAATCCGTCTCCCTTTTCCATTTTGACGTCTTTTCTCTCCCTCTTTGTTTTTGGTCAAACAGCAGTTAAATTGTAACTTCCTTCAAAAAACAAGCCTTGAGAAGCATCAGTTCAATTGATCTTTGTAATAATACAAACGGGGATCGTACAAGTCTTATCATGGGTATTGAAAAATCAAGTTAAAGTTAATATTTAGTTTACCTTGCCATGCTTGCTCAAAGTTTAAATCCGAGGGCGAAAAAGACAGGACTAAGATCAATTTGCTATTTTTTACCCATAATGTATTTATGAAACCAGTGCAACCTTAACACAGATGTCCTTACTTGACGGCAAACTATAGAGCGAACAAAGTGGTCTTTTGGGCGACCCTCCCATCCGGCGACAGCATACCGTTATTCAATGTCATCCTGTATTTTTCGCGAAACGAAAGAACTCGCGAGTTCTGTAATCTGTGATCTTGTACTCAAACATTTTTTTCTTTCAAATTGAACTGAGGACTGTTAATTTAGAAAACACTGAAACCTAGAAGATGTCTGAACAATGTAGTTAATACAGGAGTTACTGAGTTAATATCATTATGAAGTCCTTGAGCGACAGAGTTTGTTTACCAAGCCGAGCTTACAACACGTCGCGAGTTTTAAAATTTCCACAAAAATCAAAGACTTCCGGATTTTATTAATTTTAATATTCTTCTGAATTTAATGGTATGTGAGAGCAAAGCTGAGTGCGGGATCAGTATTTAGAATGGCGAAAACAACGCTGTGTTCACAAATTTTATCGACTCATTCTTTTGTTAATGTGTTCGCTTGGTAGGTGAACTTCAAAGGCAAAAAGAATTTGAAGTAGCCATGTTTATGTACCGCACAGGAGAACAACAAAACGCCTTCAATGCCATGAATTCAACGAAAACGATCGGTAAGATACATTTCATATATTAGGTCCCTTGGAAAGTAACGGACGTCTTTCTCTAGCCTGCAGGACCGTTCACCACTTACCAGCCTGCGTGGCACCCCTTTCGGCGCATACTAGCCACTCACAATTCCCAAATTTAGGGCTTACTTGCAGGGCAACTTACCCCGCCCCCCCCTCCCCCACCCTTTCCCAACCAAATTTTCCCTTGGATAAATCATTGGTTGACACTACACTGCGTAAGTTATGGACTGTGAGCAGTCTGTTATTTTTCTACTCATATGAGCACAGCATTCGTCGCCGATGACAGGTTATGACTTAGAATTACAAGGTGGTTATCAGTGCAGTGTGGATGTGTTACCCACTGCAATTAGTCACATTAAGAAAAACCTACTGTCAGGGGCACCCAATGGATCTGTTCCTCAAAATATCTGTTCTTCAGGCACATTTTTGCTGGCTGGGAGATGTGGAAGAAATAATAGTCCTTGTAAGGAAAGTGTTGCTGGGAAAAAGATAATTCAGGGTGTCAGAGGGGATTTGAAGTCTAGAATAGCTGCTACGGGTTACTTGTATGGGTTACTTACCACTCAAGATCTGAATTGTGCCCTATGAAACTTCCCAGTAAGTCAGGTTGCAGGTTGTAAGGTTGCTGGCTGGGACGGCTCTTCCATCAGTCTTGCTGGGAGTGAGGAACAGATAATTTTTTTCCAGCAATCTCCCAAAATGCTTAAAATAGTCTCAGAAAACTTTATGCACGCTTTGTTGTTGTTTTTAGGTCTTTTTCTCAAAATTCCCTGTTGGGTGCCCCTGTACTGTGACGCTCGCCGTCTCTGTCGTGTACAAATCTAAATGTTTGTCTTGCTATACTTAACGTTGAAGCTGGCACACACTTAAGATCACTTTTAAAAGTTGCCGCTTGTGAACGCCATTCCTGCGAGTTTTTCTCTTTCTTTTTATCAAGGTTAACATCGCGAAAAGTTAACATCTCTTTTTTCTGTTTTCAAGTGTTTAGATTTGTTATCATTTAGATAAGGTCTCGCTACAATCCCGGGGGCGGGGGGAGCGCCGCCCGAAAGGGGTACCTTTTTCAGGCTTTAGTTTTATGAAAGGGTAGGGATTTCACTAGTTGCAGTATTCGACAGGATAGGGAAATGTAACATTTCGGTATGTAAAAGGACCTTAAGGGCTAACAGAAGTTTTTTGAGGCTGTGAAAAAAGCCGAAAAAATTTTTCCGCTTTTGTGTTTTATTCATATTTAAAAGACGGTGTATTGACGGTAGTTAAAAGGGGTGCAAAGTTGTAAACTAGATATATAAAAGGGGTACCTTTTCTGCCAGAAATGGTATATAAAAGGGTAAGAGTTTGGACCTCGGGGATCCCCACTGGGGTTACCATAGTATCACTGAACCCCTTTTACTTCCAGGGAATCGGACAGGTATTTAACTTCTTTTGGTGCTTTTTGAACAACCGGGGCCTGCTTTTTAACACTTAGGGACCGGGCAGAAAGATTTTGCCTCATTTCCTCCGACTTTCATCCAGGAAGTGCTTTTTTTTTTCTAATTGGCTCTTTTTTTATTTTTTCCTTTGGAGCTTAAAGAGAAACGTAGCAGTTTACTATTCATGAGTTCTGAGCTATTTTCACAAACATGCTCTTGTCTTTGTGCTAGAAATCATGAGAAATACTCGAAGTTTTGTTGACTTAAGGTGATGTTACACAAGACGATTCGCAACGACGATTTTAAGCGAAACAGTGCGTGGCAATGTTGGAACAATGTTGCAACTGTTCGAAACTTCGTCGCAACAATATTGTAATGCTGTGTTGCGTTACAAATAGTCGTTGAGAATCGTTCCGTGTAACATCACCTTTACTAACCACTGTAACGTTGAAAACTGCTTTTTAACCCTTTAAGTCCCAAGCGCATCAATCTTCTCCCAACAGCATTGATACACAATCAAGACTAAAAGGTTATGAGAATTAATAAAATGATCACGAAAGACGCTATTAAAACGTGACGTTTCGGCGACTACATTATCAAATGCAAATGAAAGAGGCACGAGCCGCCACCTCCATCTTCGCATTGACGAGCACAGATACTCCGCAATTGGCAAACACCTCAAAGAAAAACCTCAACAAGAGCCAACTAATCCCGAGAACGTTTTAAGATCCTTAAGAAATGCCGAGGAAAAATTGAATGCCTCATTTATGAGATATTGTTGTAAGGAAAGAGACCAATCTTAAACACTCATTACCGAATCCATTGCAGCAAAACTTTTCACTATTCATTCTTTTGTTCTTCAAATTTAATGTTGTGTTTCACACCTTCGTTTCCTATAAATATCCTTTCATAGTCCCTTTCATTTCCATTTAATAATGGTGACATGTCGTCGCCGAAACGTCATGTTTTAAGAGCGTCGCTTTTTATCCTAAAATAAATGATCACGAAGGGAGAAATGCTCTAATCTTTTATCAAATTCTCCCAACTGATTGTGTGAAGAAATGCACAGGGATCAGTGAGGAGAATTCGTATGCAGATATTAGGACTTAGGGTTAACGTTATTTGTGTAACTCGATTTTAAACAGCTAACAATACCTCACCATCATCATCAAATACGTCAAACGAGAAAGAGGAGGAGAATCAAGACTATCACCGTGGAGACGAGCAAGTGGCAATATGCATGGAATGTTACCGGTGCGTTGTCTCTTTACAATTTTTTCTGCTCATGAAGTACGAACTGCGTAATCCAAGTCAATATTGGAGGGTCCTCAAGAACAAACTTATTAAAGCTAACAAATCCCTACTTATCCTTAGAAGGCTGCGCAAAGAGGGGTACAATCAGTCAGAAATAGACCTTCCCTTTAATACATTGGTCTTACCTAATAGTAGTTATGCATTATTTGTCTGTGCTGCTTCCGATACCGATCTTACACTTGTGCAGTGTTTCTTGGACCGCTGTTTTAAGAGGAAATACACGTCTAAGCCTGTAAGTGTATGTCATTTCTTAGAGAGGCGAAATCGCAAAATTTTTGGAAAAGTTACAAACTCTGCAGGACATCCACTCTTATCTATAATGCCTCTTACCGTCCAGGTACCATCTTAGGAAAGAAACTTGTTATAAACCTAAGATTAATACTATGCGTTTTAATAACTCTTTGTTAACCGTTTAGTTTTTAGATACGAATTAGCTAGGTAATATACTAGATTTTGATTCTTACTTTTTACCTTTTTATACTTCTTACTAGATGTAAAATTTCTTAAATACACTTGTAACAGGAGATAGTATGTATTTTTGTCTTTTGACTAATAATAATAGTATTATTATTATTATTATTATTATTATTACTATTATTATTATTATTATTATTATTATTATTATTATTATTATTACTATTATTATTATTGTTATTATTATTTTTATTATTTCAATAGGATTCTTAAAATTCAATCCCGTCATCCCGCCCAAAGTTTTCGCTCAATCCCGAAATCCGTAATGGTTATTTTGGGCATCCCGCATCCCGCATCCCGTGAAGACTTTCAATCCCGAATCTCGCGCTCCAATTTTTATTTGCCAGTTACAAATCCTGAAACCTAGCCTGCGTGGCAGGCGCAAATTATTCAAATAAAGCAAATCCCGCACCCCGAAAAACCTATTGTGGACCCTCATATTGGTAGTTTTCTGTCTTTTACATTGTACTTTTTGAACAGCTGGCTAAAACTGGAAAAGCGTCAACATTTTCTGAAATATCATTCTCTCTGTAATTCTTCATAGGGCCAATGGAAAATATGCACTAAAGGTGAGACATTTTACTTTCATTCATATATTTTAACTAAATTCCAGGAGGCACCAAAGCTCGAATTAAAGTTGTATTAAGTTAAGACCTTTTTCGTTGATTCGATCCGTAGAATGGATCAAAAAGACTGCGGTGTAGGATTCCGAGATTCCTAGTAAAACTGGGACGTTTAAACATCATCTAGGACAGCTAAGGGAGCCTAAACGTTTCAGTACGTTTATAACTCATAGACTCTCGTGTTGATTATTTTCCGCAGCCATTAACACGGAAATACCTAAGATTATCATCTCAAGCGACTGTGTTACATCTTAAAAAATTCCTTGCTAAGAAGTTGAGTCTTAAAGACCACAAAGATGTAAGTAATGGATTGTTTTCTTGTCTTCGTTGGGTTCAAGTTAGTATAGATTTGTGAACAGTGATTTTTTTCAAAGTATCTGCGACTAAATTGAGAAAACGACCGACATTTCGCTACGCCAGCACTGGTTTCCCCGCAAAATGACTTCTGAGGAAGGAGCCCAGAAATTCCATACTGATGACGTGTCACTACCCAGATCTTGGTAGTGTTTCTGATTGGTCGTGCTGCGAGGGAAATTTGGTCAGTCAATCAAAAGCACTACCCAGATTTGGATAGTGTCACGTCATCAGTATGGAATTTCTGCAGTCGCTCCTCAGACGTTATTTCGCGGGCAAACCATCAGTTACGTAGTGAAATCACGGCTATTTTCTCACGTACGCTAGCCTAAACTCTTCAAGATTCCTTGTCAAATTATTATTAAAATCACTGATGAGCAAGTGCTTTTCTTTTCCACCAACAAGTAAAACTCCTGCGAACCAAGAAAAGGTCTTCAAGTGACTTCTTGGAAGGTTTATCTCATGGCACCATTGCCTCTCCTCGTCCTTTCATCGTACTCAAAACAATCGTACTGGTTTCAGTGCATGGTTAATTACTCCTTGACAAAACTCTAATTTTTGTCCAAACTGCTTTCCAAGTGCCACTTAAGGTGCTGATTTCTCTCTTTGTCGCCGCAAAGCTTAGAATGATACTGTCTTTTTGTCACAGAGGGACTTCGTTAATCTTGTCTGGGTTTGTTTTTTAGGTGGATATTCTTTGTAATGAAGAGATCCTTGGCAAGGACCACACGCTTAAATTCATTTGCGTTACACGATGGAGATTTAAGGTATGACCATTTATAGTAACAAATGCTTATTTTAGTTTTTTTCTGAAAAACTTTTTCCGCCATTTGGCTTTGTAAACACGTACCATTTTTCGGTATACTAGTTGGGTCTAGGTAGATATGAACTGATGTGATAACTGTTTTCTTGTTTGTAGGGTTGCCCTCTATTGCTCCACTACAGACCAAGTCTCAAGTTGTTCTAGTCAGTGTAAATTGCAAATAGTTATTTATCACAGCCGAGAAGGACTGGCTTGGATGCACTAGCGGTCGAAAACATCGCCCAGAAGAACGCACAAAGGAACAATACACCATCGGCGATTAAATATAACAAGGAGCAGAGGTTTTCCTGCTGGTTGAATGTTACATTGAAATCCATAATGGATGAAATTCGTATCATTGATACAAAACTTTGAAGTATTTTGCTTAGCTTTTGCAAAGTTCTGTCGTTTGACCGCGGTGAACGGGTGACGTCACATGAATGAATAGGAACGAGGCTAAGGAACTGAGGAACGTCTGCATGCAAGAAAACTTTTCATTTACCTCTTAATATTAATTGCTCGGTTATCCTTTTTAAAGGCCTGGTAAGAGGAACGCGTTGAGGTCTACCAATGGTTTACAGTTTTAAAGTTTGTTCTTTGTCCATGCAGAGCGGGCAATTGCTTTAAAATTACGTTTCATATTTGCGCAGAGGTTTTAAAGAGCCATATTGTTGACGTTTCATTCTCAGCTAAAATGAATATGATTCGTAGGGTTTATAGGAATATAGTTTAATCTTTGAGGACGCTAAATATTTATTGTACAGTATACGCGATATGCATTGGCACGCACTGAATCTATGGGCCCAAAGAGAATAAATACTATTTTTATTACTGAGTTGTTTTCATTACCGCCTTAAATATAGATAAGTCTTTCCACGCCTTAGCCGTAGATTTCCACGTAAAGCAACGTGCACACGAACGCAACAACTGCCAACAATGTTGCGTCCGTTTGCGCGTAGCTTAATGTACCCACAGCCCCTGATCACGGGTGGTTCCATGAAACTCGTCCCATGAAACTCATCACCGATTTCCGTATCAACAGATAGAAATCATTTGATTGCTACCGATTTACGTCGATTTACTACTCCGGGTACAGTATTTGATCAATTTGCTAAGCTAACGCTCAGCCCGCAATTATTTCTGGGTTAGTTACTGTGGACGCGTCGGTCATCTATTGGCCAATTTTTTCCCCCGTCCCTAGTAACAATCCCAGAAGTCTTTGCGAAAGTGTACTCGACCCAGTTTCCTCTCGATTCTAAAGTGACGCATTGCATAAAGCCTGGTTTTCACTAGCGCATAAGGACAAGCACATGTGTAAGCAAGTGATAACAGGGTCGACATAAGCATAAACACAAGAAAAACGGATAAGTTCGTTATTCTTGTGCTTTTGCTTATGTCGTAGCTTTGACTAGTGAAAACTCAGTGCCTCCTTTACACTATGATCAAACATTCTAAATTTGAATAACCGTACATTGAACACGTGAGTGATAGTATGTTATAGTTAAGAAAAGCAAGAGTATAACAGCTGCTGCAGAATCGAAATGTAATCATTCCGTTTTGTGCATAGAAACCTCACAGTCGAGGACTCTTTTCACATAAAATGCCTCTTTTAATCCAGTAGTAAACAATTAAGCAGAACGGATAAACAAACCTCCTGCTTTATTGTGCAAGTTTGCATATTCTGTATGACAATATATTAACGAATTTTCCATGAATATTATATCTAACCTACAACGTACGGGTCTTATCCAGAGGAGAAGAAAAACTAATGATACAACCGTGTATCTCTCTCTTCAAAAGAACCTATGGAAACAAGTGCCACCAAACTCAACACAACATGATGGTTCCTATAAAGTTATAATCGGTGTTACAGGCGTTTCACTGTTCAGGCACCGCGTTCAATTGCGGCCTGTTGGGGGATAGGGCTCTAACAAGTGCGAACGAATGAGGAGGGAGGGGGTAGGAGGAAGAAGGGGACAGAGAGTGTTGAGGGGAGCTCTCACCTCGCTCCCTTTCTCTCAACATCAAGCTCCCCTGGGAGACCTTACAAAAGGTAACCGGTCTGTGAGAGACTTTGTGGGAGCCCTCTTCCCTCCCTCACCACCCCCCTCCCCCCATCCCTAAAATATGAAGAACTCCATTGACTAGCTCACTGTTCGTCAGGTAGGTGCCCGATTTGTGGTTTTCCCCCTACCTTCACTAATCTCCTCGTTACAGCACAAAAAGAGTTCGCAAAAAATCTACTCTATGAACAATAGACTTGATTATAGTAATACATTTCGGTGGCTATTAAAAGCCAGCGATCTAACCAAAGCCTTGTTGAACAACAGGTTACAGGCTCTTAACATTCAAACCACTGGACTTCAAAATGGAGTAAATTCATTTGTAGGCAATGTGACCAACAACGATAAACTCTCAGCTGAAGTAGTTATACAGTCTGCTACACAGCCGTTTTTAATGTCGTCACGCAACGCTCCTCCCAGCTAGTGGGGAGGAGCGTTGCGTAACGACACTAAAACCGACTGTGTAGCAGACTAGTAGTTATAAGGTTTTCATCTCATTTTTTTTTCATGACAGTCCCGAAAGGGACGATGAATAGCAGGCGCTGGGAGCTACCAGAGTACATCTTGTCTTACTGTACTTTTTACGCCGGGCCTCGAACACGGTAATGCAGGACCATTGGCGGCTGCTAAAAACAAAAGAAGAACAAGAAAGATGGATGCAGAGACTTAACGTCCACAATTAGCCTGCGAACGGCAGACGTTTCTCCTCGCTCACCGCCGCTGAGGGACGTTTCGCGAAACGTCTCTCAGCGGCGATGAGCGAAGAGACGTTCCCTGTTTGCAGGCTAGTACAAAATACAGTAAACATGTAACCTTAATACTGTGACTATCTAGTCATTTTCTAGCAAAGAACTTATCTTAGACGGCAAGGAATTCTTGCCGTTCCTTTGCAGAAATTAGGCGGTTATAAATATCCTTACGCAAAAATAGTCAATCAACAATTAAATTACACCTTGTAAGAGAGGGACTTGACTGCAAAGTGCAGCCAAGTTAGGTGAAGAGACCGGTAAGAGTAGAAAAAAGGCATCGCCTCAAACGACAACGGATATTTTTCAGTCTTTTTTCGATTGAAAACCATGGACCGGTTGATTTCCACTGGAATTTCTGGCTTCTTTATGCAAATAGTAAGAACCCAAGATAGATAGTTTAGATACCTTGAATATTTACTTCCGTCTTAAAGGATTCCAGTCTTCGTGCCTACTTATTTACTTCCGCTAAGGTCCGAATACCTTTTCATAACGCACAAAGGTGTGGCACAGCAGAACCTATCCGATATCATGTCATCCTCGAAAGTGGTTTCGAGATCGGCGCGGCGAGGCGATTCGCAACGACGATTTTTAACGCAACACAGCATTGCAATATATATAATGTTGCAACCACTTGAATCAATGTCGCAACAACGTTGCAACGCCGTGTTGCGCTAAAAATCGTCGTTTCGAAACGTCTCGTGTAACATCACCTTAAGATCCAACGACGCAACGGCAACGAGAACGTCAAAAAAAACAATACGTTTAATGAGCAAAACAACAACTTTGCACGTGTAGCCTACTTTTTTACATTTCTGAGCCGTGTTTGCACGACTACGACGTGAAAATACCAAATCTCGCGTTTTAAGGTGATATTACACGGGGCGATTCGCAACGACGATTTTTAGTGCAACACAACATCACAACATTGTTGCGATATTGTTTCGAATGATTGCAACATTGTTCCAACATTGCAACGCTGTGTTGCGCTAAAAATTGTCCTTGCGAATCGTCTCGTGTAACATCACCTTTATGTAGAACGTAAAGGTGATGTTACACGGGACAATTCGCAACGACGATTTTTAGAGCAACACCAGCGTTGCAATGCTGGAACAATGTTGTAATCGTTCCAAACAATGTCGCAACGATATTGCAACGCTGTGTTACGCTAAAAATCGTCGTTGCGAATCGTCTCGTGTAACATCACCTTAAACAAGCAACGACGAAATTTTATTTCTCTTTCTGAACTTGGATATCAGGTCCCTTTTAATTCAACTTCCGGGGGATTCGCCTACATTTCAAACAATAAGTGGGTTATAACTGCGATAAAGACTGACACTTCCGTCAAGTACAAGCAGAAGGTGACATGAAGAATAAAGTTTTGGCCCTTTTTTAGTGTTGGCGCCAAAGAATTTAAAATACAAATTTACAAATGCAACATCGTGGGAAAGTTAGAACTTTTGTGATCCTTTCTTGCGCGTATTCTTGTGTTACCCTCTTTTAAACATGTGGCGTAACGTTGCAAAGGTAAACACAAGGAAGTCATTTCCTTGCTTACAATGATAAAACAAACATTTTATTATCTCACGTACCTTGTTTAACCATTCACTTATCCAAATAAATTTCATCGTTCTGAATGGGTGTATGATATGTTCATTGCACAGAATTTCCACCTGTATGACATGAAAAAAATCAGGTACAGGAACATCTTCTAATATATAGAGCGTTTTCACTCACGTGGCCAGCATCTAGGCAAATTTTTGGAAACAAAAAAAAGCGTTTGCATAAGAAAAGTTCGTCTCACACAGGACTAGCTTGGAACATGGCTGCCGTTTCCTTGTTTTGGGAACCCAATATGGCGGCCGTGACGTCACGTGAAAACACTCGATAGATTTAACCAGAGCAAGGCCAAAAGCGAAGTCTTTCTGCAGTAAGTCAACTTTTACCATTAGCAAGACGCAAAATGAATTCCCCCTGAAAAAATGGATCTGAGCTTGCAAACAATTGAAAACCATTATCTGGTCAGCACAGACCTTAACACCTAACTTGTACACCTAAGACCGCAATGAAGTCATGTGACACTGGTCAGGGGATACCTTTTTGCGACAGCTGTCGATTGACCAATATAAAATTTAACACGGATTCTGGACTCCAAGCTAGTAAGTGTGACATCTCACAGTCACTAACATGTGGGGGGGGGGGGGGGGGGGATGTATAGGGAAGGGTGGAGAGGAGGGGGCGAGTCCCGTGTTGGCCAGTGTCGAGCATAAAAAAAAAAAATAATAGGGAGGGATGGGGCTGGGGAAGTAGGGGGTGGAGAGAGTGGAGGAGAGGGAGGGGGGGGGGGGGGGGGGGGGCACGATTTTGTCACAACCAAATTTCTTAGATGCATAGATAACCAAATATTCTCACTCATGGTGCTCTGCTGCACTTAACTATCATTGTTAAAAAGGAGAACAAAGGATCCTGTATTTAGGAAGTCTGACTACACTGAATATTGTACAATGAGAATAATCTTCAGCATTCCGTGCACTGGAAACTAACCTGTTTTTCACCTGGAATATTGAGTTTCATTCTCAATAACTTCTGGAGTTGGACGACCATCATTCTAGCCGAGCAGCGCAAGTATTTCTTACTGAGTATCTGCAAAAAACCGGCAAATCAAAATAAATACATGGGAATTGTGCTCCTTCAAGAATATCTATAGGTTAGGAATACTTGCTTACATCAGGGTCAAAACTAATAAATTTTATAATGACTAACTATGACCGACAAATCACAGCAGATGTGGTCAGTTGAAGAAGCAATCATCATAAAAACATGTCAGGAAACATGTAGCTTCAAGCCTGCAAATACAGCCTGGTGAGAAGCGAGGAGAGACTGTTATACTTGCAGGCTACATGAAGCCTTTGCAAATCCATGGTTTACATGTAGTTTTAATAATTCCTGCAGTTGTTTCAAGCCAATCAAACAACAAAGCAACGTGCCAAAAGGGCAGAACAATTATTATTGTGATATTATTTTTGATCCTTCGTTGAAAACTGCTCTTCTGAGAAATTAGGCACTGGGAAAATATTTTTAATGAATTATAACCTGCACAGGAGGTACATTTTTAAGTCTCTCTCGTTGTCACCACAGTTGATTTTTGAAAGCAAAGGAAGATTAGAGAGAGTAGAAAGTGCAAATTATCTACAAACTGTGGGTTAGGCTTAAGACAAAAGGTTGAAGATGTGATGGGAGGGACAGAGGGAAAGAAAATATCCCCTGCCCCCTCCATCCCTTTCCTCCAACTCTTGTGACTTGCATTGCACTACAAACACGAGCTCTCTCTAGTGCTTACCCCCCCACCCCCACCCCCAACATCCCAGGAAAAAAACAGGGCGGCCAGGCTAGATATATGAATTATTATTGACTAAACATGAAATAATGATGGCTGTACATTTCAGCTTTACAAAAACAGGACTTTCTCTTGCTGGCCTAACACGGGAACTCCCACCAATCAGAACACAGGATTCACTTTTGGATTAGTCCAGTTACTAAAACCTTTGCACCAATGCAAGTTACTTAGAAAGAAGGTTTGGTGTTTCAATTTTAAAAACAAATTCAATGACAATTTACCCCCACAGTTTCTGTTGTTCTATTTTCTTCTGTGTCATCTTCATTTTCTTCCACCTTGCTGGAAAAAGAAGATTAAGGATAAAATTCAGTCTACAGTGTTCCTTTATAAGCTGCAGATCTTAGTTTTAAAAGCAAAAAAGGATGGCGCATTATAATGACATTCCCAGTGTTTTTCATGGGGTTGTGAGTGACAAAAAGACAGAGACCAGGGGCACCCAACGAGAATATAGTTCAAAACCACTTAAACATAGCATTGTTGAACGTATTTTAGTATTAAAACGGTAGATATAGGCACATTTTTATCCCCTAAAAATTTTTCATCTGTTCGGATTTCCTAGCTGAAAGTCTAGTCATCCAAACATTGTAGCGATCAAAACTTACCTTTTCGAAAATTTCAGCCAGGAAAAAGGCTCCCGAAAATTCTAGGTGACCTTTTTAGGGTAAAAATCCCTTTAAAATGGGCATTTACACCATTTTTTAGATGTTCGAAAATCCTAGCAGAGGCAGGCAAGCAAGAAATTTTACAACAAATGTTCCGAAAATTCTAGATCTCAAATCATCTTCTGAACCGATATTTTCCAAAAATTGCCATTGGGTGCCCCTGAGAGACTTGGGAAGGAAGACATCTGACATTTTAAGACTTCCTCCCTATATTGGAGAATCACAATGACCTTTCTTCATATCTTTCAACACAAAGTGACACTTGTTCATCATCTCTGTACATGTTCCTGTTTTCAGAGTAGTCTCTCTTGACTACGTCCTCCACTGGCGGTCTTTCATTCTCATTTTCATCTGTAAGACACAAAATATATAAAACATCAGATAGACTAAAAGATAGAACAATAGAGCTACAGTGTGGCACGAAATTTTTGCGGGAATTTATGTTTGCAGATCAGCGATTTTTTGTGTTTTTCTTGCTGGGAATTAATTTTTGCAATTTGCAGAAAGTCGTGGACAAATCATTGATAATGTTTTTGATTTTATTGACAACCTGCAATGGAAATACATATTTTCAAACAATACTACTTACTTATTTTTGTTCTGATTTTTAGTTTCGAGGCCTCTGGAAGATGAATAAAGACTTAAAAAGCATGATGAAAATTTCCACCTTTCTTTCCATCTTTGCCACTTTCAAGCTGTTTTGTCAGAAACTTTTTTGGCCACAATTTTCTTTGCATAAGAAAAAAGTACTTTCCATGCTCTGATTATCGTGACTTGAAAGCTGAAATGAAATTTTGACGTCCATGATTTCTGATTACCGTATTTATTCGAATAAGTGCCCAAACTCGAATTGGCGCCCACCTTGAATAAGCGCCCATCCTAAAGGCAGAAAAAGTTAATAAGCGCCCAGCCTCGAATAAGCGCCCACCCCTCCTCCTCCCAATCAAACTCAAATAAGCGCTCACCCCCACCCCACCCACTTGAGTGAATAAATTCTAATAAGAGACTTTCCCGAGGACGGAGTTTTCTTCAGAGTATTTTACAGAGACCTTGCGTTGTTACTTCTTCGCGTTTTGTTATTAGCATCTATTGTTTTGTTGCAAAATAAACTTACTTCACTTGCTGAAAATGGTGACAATTTAATAAGCGCCCAGCCTCGAATAAGCGCCCACCTCGAATAAGCGACCACTCTCAAGGTCCAAAAATTAAATAAGCGCCCAGGGCGGTTGATCGAATAAATATGGTAGTTATTTTTTGGTCTGTGAACTGTGCCAGAGACCCCTCTGTACGACCATCATGTAACTTATTAGGGATCAAATTGCTTAATTATGAGATATAAGAACTGTTAAGAGATTATGGAAAGTCAGTCTATGTTCATTCGAAGTTGTTTTGGCTTTGAAGTAACAAAACCAATTCAATAATAATGTGATTATTATTATCATGGATTAAGTGGCTATAGTTTCAAAAGAATGTGCTGTTTTGTGCTGATGGTTTGTTCAATCCAATGATCAGCTGAATAAAAATAGGCCACCACAACTCTACCAGCAAATCTAAAACTGATAATAATTTTTCTGTAACATTCTCTTTCACCAGTAAACAAACTATGACCCCTATGTAATTTAGCAAAAAGTATTTATTACCTGGACGCTTTATTACTGCCATTCCTCTGGACTCATAAAATTCTCTCCTTCTTGCCTCTTCAGCTATTTAACAAATGGAAATGTACAGTTTGTTTGAAAAATTAATTGACAGAAGTTTGAGGTAGTTAAAATCTTGATTCAACATATCTTTTTTAAGGTTGGAACAAACTAGGCAACATGTTGCTGCAACAAATCAGTCTTGTGTACAGGTGAGGCAACAAGTTGTGTGACATGTCACAAGGATAAATTGACCCTACAACAGAATTTTCTTGCCACAAAAAGTCACAAAAATTCAATCTGACTTGATTTTGTTCAACTTGTTGCAGTGAAAACTGTTTGCAGAGTGATGCCACTACAAAGTTGCAGCATCCTGTCACCTTGTGTGTTCTGACCTTCAACATTCTTTTCCTCAACTAGACCAGAGATGTTTCATAACAATTATTGTGAATACTTGAGCAACTAATACCTTCAGTGATCCCAGGAACCAGTTTGGCCACAATGTCTTGCATTGTTCTGTCTAACCTAAAAAATTTCAGACATCTATTTAATAAACTAACATGATGTTGCTTGAACCCAGAATGCCTTTAGGTAGAGTAAATGTTTCCAGTACAAATCCTTATTCAAACCCTAAGCATCTGTGTCATTCGCCTCATCACTGGTTTCTGACTAAATTAATCATGGACTTTCCATTTGTGGTACTGTCTAAGCATCTGGCCTAGATATACTGCTATTCTGCTATCAAGATGCAAACCTCTGGAGTAAACATTTTTATAACAACCCCAAACGGATGACACATCACTACCCAGATCTGGGTAGTGCTTTTGATTAGCTAAAGCAAATTTCTCAATTAGCACCACAAATCAGAAGCACTACCCAGATCTGGGTAATGCTTCTGATTGGCAGGGGCAAATTTCCCTGTTAGTACAACCAATCAGAGGAACTAGCTAGACCTAGGTAGTGACACAACAACAGTATGGAATCTCTGCGCTCATTCCTCTGACGGTACTTTTCTGGGAAACCAGTGACAGCATTGCAAAATGTCGGTTTTTTCTCAGGCTACTTAAAATATCCTGTTATTTTATGATCTACCTGATATTAAAGAGAGGCTGAGTCTCATGTATCTGAAGATTGCACATTGGACAATTTTTGCTGGTTTGGAAGTACTTCACAATACAGCTTTTACAAACTAGAATGAAAAAACAATCAAGTTCAGTCTTCAAGAAATATGCAGTGCCCTTAAACTCATTACCTTTAAAGAGAGGTTTAAATTCAAACAGATCTTCATTTCTTTCGTAGCTGTTAATATGATTCTAGATGAACTCAAAGCAGTGCCCTTATTAATTTGATTTCTTCTTTCAATGCAGTATTAATTCAAGGGTAACTCACAATCACACAGAAACATCATCAAAGACACAACAATGTCTTTCAAAATTAAAATACAAAAAGTTCTCTTCCAAAAAAGAAAGAAGGGAAGAAAGCACAACAAAAGCAACATCAATAAAGCTGGCCCCAGTTGTTCAAACGTTGCATAGCACTATCCACCTGATAAATCACTAAATCCAGCTGATAAGTATAAGGGAAACCAATTGCGTTATCCACTAGATAGATTTTTATCCAGTGGATAGCGCTATCCAACATTTAAACAACTGGGGCCAGAGGAGTAAGTGCCCAGTTAGGTGTGGCATCCCCGTAGAGGTAAACAACCCTTCTTTGCTTTATACTTGGAATTATATTCAGACAAGCTACTCTTTCCATTGACAGTGGCTACCGTATTAATTCAATTATACACTATGGCATTTATTAAATTTTTAGTGTTTCTAATACAATGTTTAGTCAAGGGCAGCGTTTATTTCAACATCACATTTTTCAAATCGCTGACAACAGTTATTATTTTAAATCATTTGTGAATATTATGTAATTTAAAGGTTCCAATGTCTCCCTTATTTTGCTGACACAGAATCGTATATGTCTGGATGGTGTAAATTACCAAGTTGTACCGAGGTTTTTCTTATTATCCTCGAGTAAATGTCGCATTCTTCTGATTAGGCCCAGTGTTTATTAGAGGGTGACATTTATTGGTAATTTTGCGTCCATCTGTGGCGTTTGATTGAGGATAGCGTTTGTTCGAGGGCAACGTTTATTTGAGGGCGGAGTTTAATCGAATAAATATGGTATTGGTTTGTGTTTCATTAATTGTGACGTCAAAGGTTTTTTAGTACAATAATTATTAGATGACAGCTATTCCAGAGACAAATAACAACATTGTGGGATGCAAATTTTTGCCACAATAAATATGCATTATTGCCCAAGAGCGAGTTCAAGGTAGCTGGATATTGATTGTTGTATTTTTATGGACCAAGACAAAGATCACAAAAAAGAAAGGGCCAATATCCAGCAGCCATCTTGAATGAAGAAGCCTTGTCAATAATGGATATTATATTGTATGGCCAAAAAGAGAACTTTTTCTTGCAAGATCAATGTGGGAAGGCCCAAACGGGCAAGATGAGCTTTGCCCGCTTTGGTATCAAATTAGAACAAGGATTTGCCTCATCTTGCCCACTTGCAGATTCAGCCATATAATAATTCCAGGTGTAAAACAAAGTTAATTTTTTGAGCAGATGCCTACATGTGTGGAGACATTCTGTGATGGTTGTGGCATCAACAAAGTAACCTGCACACAGACTGCACACAACATGAGGATTTAGATCACGGATTTTTATGACAACCTGCAAAAGAAGATAAAATGTGCATAGTCAATAAGACAGACAGCATGAAAAACATTTCATCCTTTTCATACTCACTGTCCTTTTTTTCATGCTAGGAGAGTGGAAAGCCAATCTAAGGACATAAGCTTACAAAGTCAGTTTTCTCTGTGTCTACAGAAAGCTCATGCATTTTTCCATTAAAGTTGCTTGCTTGATGCATTTGGACACTAGGTAACATAGACCTTGGACACATTTATTTGACCAAGAGAAAAGGGATCTTGTGTACTTTAGACAACTCTCTGCCAAGTTTTGGTCATCACTATTTAACAATTATTCCTCGAGTCCGAATGGGCTCTGAGTCAATAGCCCATGAAGCTGAAGGCCGAATGGACTATTGACTCAGAGGCCATGAGGGCGAGAGGATTGATTGTTTTAGTAAAATTCAACTAGTTTGTCAAAAATATCAAGAATAAAAAAATTTTAGCTACTTAAAGCTAGACTTTAATCCTTTTTTGCCGCCAAAAAACTGGTGCTTTTCGCTACTAGTGGGCTATAACATATAGCCTAGTAGTAGCTCAATCAATAAAAATGCAGCATTGATAATAGACCACTAGTTGGATTTTACGAACAACTGATATGCCGTTGATATATCAGCCGACACTTAGTCAACATGGGGTTGAATTTCAGTTGACATGTTGGCCGACACATCAACCGACACCATGCCAGGACAGAGACTTACTCAGAGAAGGTTTACCAGCAAATCAAAATGACCTGTGGCATAACCTTGGGAGACAAGTTGTTTTCAGGGGTGTAGTGTGAGATTTTGAAGGTGTATACACATGGGGAAGAAGGCCAAACCAGCCCAACCTAGGGGGGGTCTAGGAGCATGCTCCCCCAGAAAATTCTTAAATTTAGGGTCTCAGGAATGCCATTTTCAGCGTTTTCACAGGACATTTTCAGCAAATTAGTACACAGGAAAATGCAGAAGTCAGTCGTCATTTTACTCATCTCTGGTGTTGTTGGTAAGGTACAATGTTTATGGGAAAAAAAGGTCAGTGACGTCATCAGAATCATAGAATAATAAAAAGAAAAAGGAAATGCTAACACAAAGACACCAATATAGTGTTTAATACGTATCAACCATCCTGATTTAATGATAACGAATGCTTTTTCAGAAAAGAATAATTTTTTTTCTACATTTCAGCTGTACATGAATGCACGGGCGTATGTGCATACATGGATGCTATGCTTCTGGTCTTTACTTATACTCTGAAACTGTAATTAAAGGGCTCTGTGCAAGAAATTAATGTCACCATAATCTGATTGTAAAGGACTGCAAAGTTACAAAAATATGCAGTTTGGTTTCGCTTTCAATACAGAAACATTTTTGCAAACAGTTCCACCTTGGCTTGCCTATCATTTCCCAAAAAATCACGAATGCAAAACACAAGTCATCCACTTTACAATCCGCAGCAACATATTACCTCGTATGAGAAAGACATGCCTGTCAAGTGACATATAAAATAAAATGTTGACTGACACTGAGCTGACTAATGTCAACTGACATATCAACCAAGACTTGGTCAACATGTCAACCAATAGTCTGCCAATATGTCGATAAAGACATGTTGACTGAGTATCAGTTGATGGTGTCAACCAATACTCGGCAGAGGCGTACCTTACGTCCACAAGATCCGAGAAATGCTTTTTATACAAAGTTAATCTCTCTTATGGACACTGGTGATCTATAGAAAAATTGGTCAATGTAGTCTACTCTGAGAGCCCACTTTATACAGACACCTAGACAACATGGACACTCTGAGCATGTCTGTCAGCTGTCCTTACCAACCAGGTTTTACTGTACTTAGAAAGAAATAGAACAGGGCAAATACAGAAGACTACACACATTAAGCTGCAACCAAGCGGAGACATCGTCATATATATCACCTGACAGTCTTGCAGCATCCAACTTTTTGCAAGTTTCCTTGACAACAGGAGACCTCCTTAAATATTTGGTGAGGTTTTGTGAGGTTGTAATTTTATTGCTTATTCCGAGTTCAATCTATCAATTAAAAATGTTCATACTTGGAAATATGATAACCTTTAGCTGCGGCCTTCTTCAAATTCTATTGATATGATCGAATTCGCAGAAATTCGTCGCCTTCATTTTGACTATGACTTCCGCATCGTGTCTTAGTCATCTTGAAGAAGCCGTTGGAGAGAAAAGCTGATTGACAGCTCGAGCGGTAAAGTGAAATACTCCGTTCTCATCGTATAGTTAACGTAAATATTGCTTTTCTTTTAATATTACATAGATTAATCGATTTTACCTCCTTAGAGTCCATTCTCTTTGGTTTAGTCTACAAGAACGTCGTTCCTCAATGCTTCCGCCATTTTGCAATGATGTCGTCTCCAGGTTCCAGGCGTCCAAAATCAGTTGGGCCCCACTGTCTATGGCCTAGAACGATCACGTTTTCAAAACAAAACTGCAAAGTTTGTTTGTTTGTCTCTCGTTTGTTTTCATTTTCGTTGGTTTGCTGGTTTGTTTGTTGGTTTTTTTACCATATTTGATATAAAAAGAAAATTATAAACAATTATTGGATGAGGTTTTTGTGATATCCGGAATAATCAAGGTCGAGGTAAGTGTTATCAGCCGAAGCCGAGGGCTGAGGCTGATAACACTAACCGAGACCTTGATTATTCCGGATATCACAAAAACCGAATCTAATAATTGTTTTATTATACATTGTTTTGAAGAAAATAACGACAAACGCATTATCGCAGCGATCACAGTTTATTTTCAAACACTTAAAAATGTATAACTGAGTGATAAACAAATTTTCACCGTCTGGATATTTTTCTCTTTAAGGTATTCGTAGAACAGTTCCTTCGCCACTTTTGTCGATCTTTTCGTATTTTCCGAATCTTTATCTTCAAGTTATTTCTCAGTTTCTTGCTGGGTCGATGAAGCGAATCGAGAAGCCATTCTTACTTCGCTGTCCGTGCACTTGACATTGCT